TGACAGAACAATACCAATACAATGCAAAACATGAGGGGATTGAGGGCCCTGCTCTTTCGAGCTTACAATCTAGGAGGGAGGGGATAGTGGTACAGGAGGAGATAGCTGTGGGGGATGGAGTGGTAGGAAGAGTGGAGGAGATCGGCAAGTTAGCAGGGGGTGGGGTAGGCTTCCCTGAAGAGATGGTTTTCAGGGTGCGCCTAAAGGAGGAGTAGGTGATAATCTGATGGGTTGGGGCAGGGAGTTCCAGAGGATGGGTGACACCCTGGAGAAGTCCTGGAGGCGGGCATGGGAGGAGGAGACCAGGGAACTAGAGAGAAGGAGGTCTTGTGAGGAGCAGAGTGTGCGTGCTGGGCGGTACTTGGATATTAGGTCAGTGATGTAGTTCGGGGCAGTATGGTGGACAGCTTTGTATGTCAGTGTTAGGATTTTGAATTTGATCCATTGCGCAATCGGAAGCCAGTGGAGGGATTGGCAGAGGGGGGTGGCGGAAACGGAGCGGTTCGAAAGGTGAATGAGTCTGGCAGCCGTATTCAGGATCGACTGAAGAGGGGATGGCCAGCGGCGAGGCAGGCCAGTGAGGACGGAGTTGCAGTAGTCGAGTCGTGATATGATGAGGGAGTGGATGAGCTGTTTAGTGTTTTCTGGGGTTAGGAACGTGCATATTTTGGTGAAGTTGCGGAGGTGGAGTCTGCACGAGTTTGTTAAAGATTGGACTTGGGGCGAAGGATAGGTTGGAGTCCAGAATGACACCAAGTACTCTGGCCTACAGGGAGGGTTTGATGGTGGCGTTGTTGGATGTTATGGAGAAGTCAATGGGGGGTGGTGTCCGGGCTGGGAGGAAGACAAGAAACTCGGTTTTGGAGAGGTTCGGTTTAAGGAAGTGGAGCGACATCCAGTCTGATATGTCGCTCAGTAGGTGTGTGATTTGGGCAGAGAATGAGGGGGTGAGGTGGGGGGTTGAGAGATAGATTTGTGTGTCGTCGGCATAGAGGTGGTAGTTGAAGTTGTGAAAGTGTATGAGTTGGCCAAGGGAGGAGGTGTAGATGGAGAAGAGAAGGGGCCCAAAGGACAGAGCCTTGAGGGACCCCAACAGAGAGGAGGAGTGAGGAGGAGGTGGTAGCATTATAGGTAACACTGAAGGAGCGTTGTGACAGGTAGAATGAGAGCCAGGAGAGAGCAGAATCTTTGAGGCCGAGGGAGTGTAGTTTTTTGAGGAGGAGGGGGGTGGTCAACTGTGTCGAAGGCCGCAGAGAGGTCAAGGAGTAGGAGCACTGAACAGTGGCCATTAGCTTTGGCGGTTAGAAGGTCGTTGGAGAGTTTGAGTAAGGCGGTTTTGGTGGAGTGTAGGAGACGGAAGCCAGACTGTAGGGGATCGAGGAGGTGGTTGTCGTTGAGGTGAGAGCATAGGCGGGTGTAGACGAGGCGCTCGAGGAGTTTAGATGTAAATGAGAGCAGGGAGATGGGTCTGAGGTTGTTTGGGTCATTGGGGTCCAGGGAGGGCTTTTTAAGTATGCCTTATTCAGAACACTGGGCCCTGTATAGAGTCCAGGCTTCATCTGGAATACTCCCAAAGGGGTCCTTAGGGTCTGAATTCTGTGGTGATGGACCATGGCCCTGGACCTGTATAGCACTCTGCAGCTGATTGCACAAAGTGACACGGTGAGCACCCGAATCAACATTACAGGCCGCTCCCACAGTGCGGGTCTGGTTAGGCTTCCAAAGTGATCCAATAACAAAAGGGTCTATAAATACTCAGTCTGTGTCCTGTACTGTACAAGTAATGTATCGCCTTTACAGCCATATGAGGACAACTTCCACTTCCGATCGCCTTAGGCGATCGTGGGAGCGGGTACCTGTCAAATTCAGGTACCCGTTACCCCCACCTGCTCCCCAAAGATGCTAATGTTTAACGGGGAGCGGGGGACAGTGCATTAAAGCAGAACTTCTCATTTTGGGTGGAGCTCCGCTTTAAGGCAAGCCGCATGCTACTCCCCAGGTTATTGCAAGACATCACTGTAGGCTAAAAACCGACTCCTCCTGTGAAGAATCTACACATCCTGCAAACTCTGGGACTTTCTGTCTAGTGCTGGCACAGGTGAACACTAAATGGTAATTAGGTAAGATCAAATTAGCAGAGCTTACCATGCTGGAGATGTGTTTTATAAAACATTTGTGATGCACACAGGGAAATGGCAAGGCATACATGACCTGAAAGAATAAAAAAAGTTGCTTGTCCCTCTTGTGAAATATGGACAGGGTAGGTGGATCTATGGATGGCCATAGGGGAATTATCCATAACAATGCAAACTGCAGCCACCACATGTGTATCCACCATTACAAGGTAAGGCAAAAAAACAACTGAAAGTGTACAATTCAAGCATATAATTTCCCCCACACATGGACATCATAAAAACACTTCTGCAAATGGCAGATTCTAATCTTGTCATAAGCAGCATACATTTCTTACACAAAGCTTACTATATGAATTAAAAAAGTACAGCTGGAACCCAATCAAGCCTGTCCAGGAGGCTTCATTGCTCCCTGATGACTCCCTACCTTGCTCCATGACAGGGAGGAGGTTATTAGGAGGCTTGCTGTCTGGGCCCTGCACAATGCCTAGGACCCACAGCAGTTAGTCCTACATTATTACAGCCTGTAGTATTCACTGGCCCAATGTCACCCTGATGCCAGCACCTCTCAGCAATCAAAGCATGGAATAGAATGGTGCCAGTGTGGACACCCATGATTTTAAGTGGCTGGGAGGAAGAGCACATCCTGTCGCAACGCTAAAAGTGTGTTATTTGGTTCCAGAATGGAGTCAACATCATCTTGGTCCTCCTTGGCTAAAGGACCTGCCCATAGGCATTATACTGCTGGAAAAATGCGGGAAGAAACCCAGCAGGGGGGGCCTATGACCATCTGTGCCACTACTTCATCAGAAGAAACAGGCCAAAAAAGCAACGCACCGCTGGACTTGCCTACATCAGTCAAGCAGCAAGGTCCAGCACATATCTTCAGGAAAAAAAAAGCCGTTAGGTAATCAATCTGACCAGAAACACAGGCACACCAGGACTTAGTAACCTAAGGGGGGCCTGACAACCATAGTTACAGGACCAGGAGAAACAAAACAAATATGACTAAGTGTATTGTTGGACGGTCGGAAACACAAAATAATTGAGGAAGAGGCGAAGGGAGGGGCTTTTTAACCTCTTTCTGGTTTGTATTTCCTTTTGAAGGTGGAGCCAATCATCTCTCAAGTAGTTGTCCTGGAAGGTGATTTGGGAAATATTGTATTCTGGTAAATGTACTGTATTGTGTCTAATACCAGTAGTGATCGTAATCAGTATATGAATTTCTTTTTCATTTCACGTTTTTTATATATTTTTTTAACCTTTACATGTATGCCAATCTGTCCAGAAAAAGTGACAGTTACAGTAAATCAGAACAAGCTATTATACCCTTCCATTTAGATTATTAACTGCTGTACTCTAACTATACAGTCTACCTTTTTTTTGTCAAGAGCTGGTCAACTGTTGGCGCTAAATAAATCCTGTATAAGAATAATAATAATAATGCTGACGGGTGTGTGCAATAACAACTGCCAGCTCTAAATCTCACGATGTAACGGTTTTTTCCCCATAAGGAAAAAAAAAAGTTACTATAATCACATAAAAGTGTTAGCTGGCATTGAGGTTTTTTATTTATTCTTTTGGTTACTTAAAGTAGTAGAATTCCAGCCTAAAACACTACCTCTGATTACAAATGTCCCCTGCACCCTCATGTCTAAACTGTGTAAAAATGATATGTTTAGATTTGTTTACGTACTTATTTTCAGTTTCCTTCCGTTTGGTCACATGATCTAAAGCCTGATGTCCCCTGTGCCAGTGAGAGGCAGCGAACAGCGGCTTCAGGGGAGAGGAGGAAGCCTTTGACAACAGCTGGGAATTCTGGGAGTCATGATGTCACTCATAGGCTCCCATGTCCCAACCAATGTCACTGCTCCCTACTCTCCACTGAAGCCGCTGTTCACTGACACAGGAAATCAAGTGACCGGACTTAAAAAAGGTAATGTATGCACATCTTTTACACTGGTTAGGAAGCACAGGTAGCAGGGCTAGGAGTGTTATGGGACATTTTAAACATAGTTAAAGCTAGGCAGGAATTCCACTTTACCATCCATCTCAAACTACCTTGTCCACAGGGTGACAACAATGCTGTGGTTTCATTACAGAACAAACAGCGTTTGATACAAGAAGAGAAAAATGAATAGATCTACTGCTGGAGGTGACGAAGGCATATTACAGGGGACTCAGAAAAACACAAACTACTAATGACAGACTGCAGCATACATGTCATTTTTCATTTGCCCATAGTTCAACTGTATTTAAGACACTTACGGAATAATTTAAAAATTCAGCTTTAGAAACACGAAGCAGAAATGTCCATAAAGATGTTTTAGAAGCTATATTTGCAATAGTTGAACAGCTTAAAGACAAGTTCAGCATTACAGGTAAAAAAAAAATGTTTTAATATATGCATTTACCCCTTACCCCCCTTATACTTACCTGAGTCCAAATACCATTGCAGAAAGCAGGCAAATAGAGCAGGTTTGTTATTTTAAAAGAAATAAAAATGACAAAAGCTTTAAAAGTAATTCCACTTTTAAAACGAAACCTGCCGTAAGACCATAACCAAGTAATATCCAAAATGCTCTTGTAACACTTGGCAGCACTGTACTATATACAGTAATTTAGAAATTCTAATTTGCATTCAGATTGGACTGTACCTTCTGTGCAGGGTGTGTCTTCTAGAACCTGCATGGTCAGCTAGGGCTACAGTTATGCCCTTTGGTGGCTACCTCTCAGAAAGGTTGTCAATGGCTATGATGAACACTAACATTTTCAATCTAAGAACAGAATGGCAAGGAACTCTCCATAACATATATAGGAAATGGCAGATGCTTATTACAGTGAAATGTTACTTTCTTAGTCTGTCACTCACCTGTCTCCTCTCTTGTCTATCATGTTGAGATGCTGCAAGGTGGTGGCAATGTCATGAGGACACATCCCTGTAGCTCGACTAAGCCCTTTCACACTGATCTGCTTGTCATGATGAGTGGACAGATAGTTTATAACAACACTTTTCCAGTATGAGAAATACGATAAACGGCCCAAATCTGACAGAGGCTTTTCTGGAGAGCCCGTCTGCCCCTCACACCGTGAAAGCAAGTAAGTACCTGCAAGTATATTTCAGAACAGGACAATTAGAACACTAGAGATGCATGCTTACGTTAAACAAATAATAGGAAACTACATGTCCAGAATTAGAACTATCAATTTCCTTTATATGGTTGTTTTTTGAAGCTTTGTCATCATACAAGTAGTTACTCCTCCTTAGACAGAAGCTACACTGAACAGCCATAGGATTATGACCACCGACAGGTAAAATGATTATCTTGTTACAATGGAATCTGAAAGTGAGTGGGATATATTAGGCAGCAAGCGAACATGTTGTCCCTAAAGTTGATGTGCTGAAAGCAGAAAAAAAAAGGGGCAAGCATAAAGATTTGATCACATTCCCTCTGTTTTCTTCATTGGGAGCTCAGGGAGGAGAAAATGCAGCATACTGAACTACCCAGTGAATGGCTGGGGGGGGAGAAGACACATGTCAGCACAAGCCTAATCATTGGATTAGCTCCCAACACAGCCAGAAAACGGACCACACTGCACTCTCATATCTATTGTATTCAGTCTTTATTAGGAATGCAGAAGGAATGGCAGAAATACCAGAACTGTTAGGCTAGGTTACGCTTCTGAGTGTTGTGATGGAAGCGGTTTTCTGGCACATTTTGTGTTTTTGATGCGTTTTGCTGAGGGGGGTGGAAAGGTTGCCAAAAGGAGAGTATTGATTTTAATGTGACTTTGGATGGGTGTTAGAGGTCTAGTGGAGTCAATGTTTTGACGAGTTATGGTGGGTGGTTATGGTTCTATTGCTATGGCTGATCGCCGTATATTAAAATGTTTCTAACCAAAGAACATATAATTTTATGGTGCAGCTTGCCTTTCCTCAGGCTACGTACATTTTCTTTCAGGCTTTTTTTTAACATTTATTTTCAACTGGTGTCCCTGTAACACACTTCTTGTCCTAGAGTAACAACGCTCATTCACTGTACTGTATTGAGGAACACAGTTATCACCATAGGGCAGGACTACAAAACTGTCCCTTTTCTATGGCATAAGGGCAGTGTTATGTAGTCCACCGAGCGAACTGGGAAGAATGTAACTAACCAGATCACTATATTTCTGTCAGGAACAAGTGGTATTTTTTTAACTTATTGAACAGATAACTGATTTGAACAGTGTAACACACCAAACAGGAGCAAATAAAATGAGCCCCTTGTTAGAGCTTACAAATGACTTTGATGCCGACTTCGAATTTACAAATAATGTCAAGCAAATGGCCCATTATCACAATCTACAAAAAAAATAGAGGACCATAGCTCAGGTTCAACAAAACCGCTGTATTCATGAACAAACTAGACAATGATCCCAAGGAAAAATGGTGACACACACACATTCAGTAATTTCTTGGTAGATAAATGTTGTTCTATCTAAATGGATGTCCATTAGTTTTGAATTAAACCATGTAAACGGTTCTCTAGCAGTATTCGATATACAGTGCCTTGAAAAAGTATTCATACCCTTCCACATTTTGTCATGTTACAACCAAAAACGTAAATGTATTTTATTAGGATTTTATGCGATAGACCAACACAAAGTGGCACATAATTGTGAAGTGGAAGGAAAATGATAAATGGTTTTAAAAATATGTGCAAAGTGTGGCGTGAATTTGTATTCAGCCCCCCCCGTAGTCAATACTTTGTAGAACCACCTTTCCCTGTAATTACAGCTGCAAGTCTTTTTGGGGATGTCTCTACCAGCTTTGCATAGCTAGAGTGAAATTTTGCCCATTCTTCTTTGCAAAATAGCTCAAGCTCTGTCAGATTGGATGGAGAGCATCTGTGAACAGCAATTTTCAAGTCTTGCCACAGATTCTCAATTGGATTTAGGTCTGGACTTTGACTGGGCCATTCTAACACATGAATATACTTTGATCTAAATCTTTCCATTGTGGCTCTGGCTGTATGTTTAGGGCCGTTGTCCTGCTGGAAGGAGAATATCCGCCCCGGTCTCAAGTCTTTTGCAGACTCTAAAAGGTTTTCTTCTAAGATTGGCCTGTATTTGGCTCCATCCATCTTCCCATCAACTCTGACCAGATTCCCTGTCCCTGCTGATGTTCAGGGTGATGTTCAGTGTTAGTTTTCCACCACACAGTGTTTTGCTTTTAGGCCAAAAAGTTACATTTTGGTCTCATCTGACCAAAGCATCTTCTTCCAAGTTTGCTGTGTCCTCCATCTGGTTTCTCGTAAATGGTACTTATGGTTTTCTTTCAGCAATGGCTTTCTCCTTGCCACTCTTCCATAAAGACCAGATTTGTGGAGTGCATGACTAATAATTGTCCTGTGGATAGATTCACATTCCCTCTGTTTTCTTCATTGGGAGCTCAGGGAGGAGAAAATGCTGTGGATCTCTGCAGCTACTCCAGAGTTACCAAGGGTCTCTTGGCTGCTTCTCTGATTAATGCTCTCCTTGCCCAGCCTGTCAGTTTAGGTGGACAATAATGTCTTGGTAGGTTTGCAGTTGTGCAATACTCTTTCCATTTTTGGATGATGGATTGAACAGTACTCTGTAAGATGTTTAGAGCTTGGGATATTTTCTTTTATAACCTAACCCTGTTTAAACTTCTCCACAACTTTATTCCTGACCTGTCTGGTGTGTTCCTTGGCCTTCATGATGCTGTTTGTTCACTAATCTCTAACAAACCTCTGAGGGCTTCACAGAACAGCTGCATTTATACGGAGATGAAATTACACACAGGTGGACTCTATTTACTAATTAGGTGACTTCTGAAGGCAATTGGTTCCACTAGATTTTAGTTAAGGGTATCAGAGTAAAGGGAGCTGAATACAAATGCAAGCCACGCTTTTCAGATATTTGTAAACAATTTTGAAAACCATTTATTATTTTCCTTCCACTTCACAATTATGAGACACTTTGTGTTGGTCTATCACATAAAATCCCAATAAAATACATTTACGTTTTTGGTTGTAACACGACAAAATATGGAAAATGGCAAGGGGTATGAATACTTTTTCAAGGCATTATATATCTCACTGTGGTTTGCCTCTACAATACTAAGGAAAATGCACAAGCGTTAATAGACATATTTGTTGTTTTTTTTTTTTTTCAGACAGCATATCTCCACATTCACACTTGTAAGTGGGCCCAACAATGATTACATGTGAAAACCCTAGCAAGGGTTTCCGGCAATTAGTTGAGGGAGGCAGACCCAGTGAAAGCAAAATGAGGCTGCTGGCTCCAGTAGCTAATCATTACCGCTCATGTGTAATCGCTCATGCAACAATCACCTGAGAGTGATCAGCCCTGGACACAGACTGAATGCATTGCTTTCAATGGGGCTGCCTCCCACAGCTAATCGCCCGGAACCCCCATTGGGGTTCTTGCATGTAATTGGTGTTGGGCATATGTGAAAGTAGCCCAGAACTATACATGGAGCTGATGTAGGCACTTATTTTCACCATGCCATTATACAAATTAAAAAAAAAAGCCAGTAAATCAAATTGCAATCTCAAATATCTAAAATAAAAACCGCTTCCCTGCCGCCCTATAGCACAAATACTGCTACAGGACGTCAGGGCTGCGCAAAATTACGTATATATACATGTGATTTTGCATTTCCGGGCAGGGGGCACGTGCGAGCCGTCATTGACGGCTACGGCTGTCAATCACCAGGTCCCAGTCAGAGATTGCATGCCGAAGAACACTGACAGAGGAGAGGTCTATATGTAAACAATACAGATCCCTCCCCTGTCAGCACCAGCATGCTGCTTTGTTTTGCTCTGCATAGCAGAGCAATACAAAGCAGCATGCTTACCCAGTAAAGCACACACAGCTCACATAGTAAAACGGCACACAGTTAGCCCTTTGATCACCCCAGATGTTAACCCCTTCCTGCCAAGTGTCATTAGTACAGTACAGTACTTTTTTTTTTTTAGCACTGATCACTGTATTAGTTTCACTGGGGATGTCCCGCTATAAGTCGCTGATTGCTACCATTACTAGTATAAAAAAAAAAAATTCCAGTATATATAAAGTATATATTTTAGCAAACAAATTAATTTACACGTATTGGGATTTTTCAAGCAAAGACATATAGCAGAATACATGTTGGCCTAAATTTATGAAGAGATTTGATTTTTAAAATGTTTTTATTTAATATGTTTTATAGCAAAAAGTCAAAAATATTGTTTTTATTTTTCAAAATTGTTGATAATTGTTTATAATACAAAAAATTAAAAACACAGAGGCGATCAAATACCACCGAAAGAAAGCTCTATTTGTGGGAAAAAAAGGACATACATTTCACTTGGGTGCAGTGTTGCATGACCGTGCAATTGTCAGTTAAAGCGCATCGTCGTATCGCAAAAAATGGTCTGGCCAGGAAGGGGGGTAAATCCTCTGGAGGGCAAGTGGTTAAAGAAGAACTAAAAGCTCCTCTATGACAGTCTAAACACATATCAAATTCAGTTAATATTGGATACACAAGCCTCAAAGTAAACAAAAAACTCCCTTTACCCTCACTGAATGATCCAAATCTATATCTATAGGATTGCAAATTAGCAGTGACATTCCCTATACCCCATGCATTTTTTTAACCCACATGTAGCTTTGCCTACATGAGAATGGTAATTATGCTTGGAATATTCAAGAAATGCAGCAGGTTGACACATTATCACTGGAAGCTGCTTTAGGTAGACTTCACTGGAAGACAAACAGGTATTTGTGGGACTTTGCAGAGGCATCAATAGAAGCTGTCAGTGCAGATCCACTTACAATGGAGTACTGCAGCACTTTTTTTTTGTTTTTAAATGTATTTTTATTAGGAAGGTTTCTAATATTACAATGCATTAAAATCAAAATGCTTACAATTAAAAAAAGCATGCTGGTCTGATTGTCCAAGAGCTACTTATTACAAGTAGGAGTTTAAGAGTGTATAGGAACAGGTATTAGACATAGTTGTAGATAATGCAGCATGTGAAAGTGTTGGTCACACCAACAAGTGGTCACAGTCTGTAATATATAGAGTCCTGTAGTC